CACCACTCGCAGTAACAGTAACAACAGGGGCAATAAAATCAGACATCCAAATTTGTCCTGTGGTAGCATTTTCTCCAAGTAGTACAAATATATCCTTATATCCATCCTTATTTACTTGATCTTTAGATTTCAAATTACGGTAAAGCTTATGACATTTATCAAGAGTATGCCCAAACATCTTACAATGAGAACAATAAGAATGTCTATGTTCCATGACGATTTGTTGTCAATATCCATTATGCGTTGTGTCCAACCAGACTTCATTAACATCAGGCAAAGTAATATCTCTTTCCACAAGTATTTTGGCCACGAAACGTCTGGTAAGGTTGAAAGTTGGTAGATCTAGCTTCATAAGGTCCCCAAGTATGACACCAATAGAGTAAAAGACCTGATGATAAAAAAAGTGTAGCTTGAGACCAGATAGACTAAACCATACCGATACCATACCGATACTTTTATGATTTGAGTCAAAATTCGGAGACCACTTGAGTAGCTTCATAGGTTTACCAACAATGTTAAGATATTTTTTTGGAGAAAAAAGATATTTTTTGGAGAGGCACGGTTAACTGAATCAAAACATGTCTCCCATCCATGAGCCTCACTTTCCACTTTCTATTTTCCTGCTAATTTGAGGTCATCAAAACTTTTCCGGATAACCTCCATAGGTGGGTGTTCCCACTGAAATTTCTCAATGAGAGCAAACTTGAATTTGTCAGTCAGGGTTGAAATTTCTGCTCAGAGAAAAAGAATGTTGTCTTCCCACTTTTCATGCTTACATTCTTAATAAAGGAGCAGTCGTCTGTATCATCACAATTCTCCTTATAACTTGAGGGGAAAACAACCGTTGTCTCCCCCTGAGGATTACCCACGACGTGGGCAAAAGAGGTTTTGTCGAGTTCAACCGAAGGAGGAAGCTCCATCACAGGAGTCACAACAAGCAGAAGAGTTGCAAGTCAGACAGAAGAGGTCGGAGGCGAAGCTGCGCAGAAGAGAGGGTAACCGCAGGTGACGTCAGTGTCAAGCCGCAATCGAAGGAGTCGAAGAGGAAGGCGCTGCAGTTCTTTAGAAGAGCTCTCACGTAAGGAAGACAACGTGCGAATAACGTTCAAAGGGAAGAAGTTTTTCCTCGCACGGATTAGGGCGTTTTTATATATATATATATATTATATATATATATATATATAAAACACGCTAGCAATTAAATTAAAGAGAAAATGATACAGATAAGTTGTATGAGTAGACCCAAATAGGAACCCAACACATATAGTACAACACACAAAAAGAATAAAAGGAAAATTAAAATCCAAAAGAAGATGGTACATAAAAGATCAACCAGGTCGACCCACTTTAGTTCTATCTCTGCCTCTAGTTCTTGGAAAGGAACAAGCTAATAGATTGGTGAGGTGTGTATCATTGCCCGAAATAACCAGTGTATCATTCATTAAATTTCTTAGCTTAAGTAGATCTTTATTCTTCATTCCTCATCCGAAAATTGTTGCTCATTCAGTGAGGTGGTAGTGTTGCAGTAGAAAGATTGTCAACAGTTGTGCTCACAAGTGTATGTGAGGTAAGAGTTGTCGCCTCTACCGCTGATACTTCCTGAAGAGCTGCAAGGTTCTCCTGATTCTCAGTTCGTGTAGGTAGGGGTCCTTCATTATTATTTTCAATAGGGGTTAAAAGTGTAGGTTGCTTAGCAGTGTCATCCAACTTCTCATCGATAGCAAAAATAATATTTTCAAGGGGAGGGTTCATAGAGGCAATAGAATCAGACACCAAATTTTGTCCTGTGGTAGTTTTCTTTCCAGATGGAACAGATATATCCTTAAATCCATCCTTATTCAATTGATCTTTAGATTTCAAATTAGAATAAAGCTTATGACATTTATCAAGAGTATGCTCAAGCATCTTACAATGAGAACAATAAGGAGGTCTATGCTTCATGACAGTTTGTTGTCAATATTCATTATGCATTGTGCCCAACCAGACTTCAGTAACATCAGACAAAATAATATCTCTTTCTACAAGTATTTTGGCCACAGAAGGTCTAGTAAGGTTGAAAGTGGGTAGATCTAGTTTCATAGGGTCCCCAAGTACGACATCAATAGAGTAAAGAACCTGATGATGAAAAAAGTGCAACTTGAGACCAGGTAGACTAAACCATACCGATACAATAGAAGGTTCATGATTGGGGTCAAAATCAGGAGACCACTTGAGTAGCGAGCAACTTCATTGATTTACTAGCAATGTTAAGAAATTTTTTGGAGAAAATCCGAGTGCAGTCTTCAGACACGGTTAACTGAATCAATACATGCCTCTCATCCAAGAGCCTCATTTTCCACTTTCCTGCTAATTTGAGATCATCAAAACTTTTTCTGATAACTTTCATAGGTGGGTGTCCCCATTGAAATTTCCCGATGAGAGAAAACTTGAATTTGTCAGTCAGGGTTGAAATTTCCGACTCAGAGAAATAAAGTGTTGTCTTACCACTCTTCCTGCTTGCATTCTTAATAAAGGGTCAGTCACCTGTACCATCACGATTCTCTTTATAACTTTAGGGGAAAACAATTGTCATCTCCCCCTGAGAATTACCCACAACGTGGGCAAAGGAGATTTTGTCAGGTTCGACCGAAAAAGAAAGAAACTCCATCACAGCAGCAAGGAAGCCCTGCAAGTCGGGCAGAGGGTGGTCGGGGCGAAGCTGCGCAGAAGACAGGAACCACAGACCGCAGATGACGGATGCAAAGAAGTCACAGCTCGACAGACTCCAAACCGAAGCCGCGCAGAAAAGAAACCGCGGCGCAGAGGAGACGACTCCGCAGAAGCAAAGACGGCTAAGCAGGAAGACGCCGCAGAAGCAAAAAAGAACCATAGCGCGAAAGAGAATACGACGATTGCAAAGGAGAGCAAATTCCTTCGTCATCATCGTCGAGTACGAGAACAGCGTCGTCGAGCACGAGAGGATGGATTGAAAGGCCGCGAAAGAATCAAACCAGCGTTTCGCCATCGGGCGAAACCCCTAGCAGAGCAGCATATTGCCATCACTGAATATTATATCTTTTATTATATTATATTATATATATATATATAGGGTTGTCAATTTAGCTCGTTGTTCGTGATCAACTCGTATTCGGCTCGTTCGTTAAGCTTAACGAGACGAACACGAATAAACATTTGTTCGCTCGTGTTCGACTCGAATTGACTTGAAAATAAATAAATAAATAAATATGCACACACATATATAATAAATATTCATAAAATAAAATATTACAAATTGTAATTAATTAAAAATTTTTAAAATAAAAAAATTTATCAAAATTTAAAAAATTAAATCCTATAAATTGTAATATATAATAAATTATTAATAAATATTACTTATATAGATATTATATATTTATATAATATAAGTTATAGATTTAATATAATATAATATATAAGTAAAAAATTAAAAAACCCTAACTCGTTACTTCTAAGCCCCGACCGGCGATTCTTCGGTTCGGCTGCCTCTCCCTCTTCCGACTTTTCTCCTTCCTCTCAAAATCGCGAAAGGCGTTCGGTCGCGAGAGCTTAGGGTTTGTCGTTTGTGTTCGCTGCTCTCCTCCTCTTCCGAGTCATCTCCTTCTCTTCTCAAAATCGTGAAAGGGTTTCAATGGCGAGAGCTTAGGGTTTGTTCTTCTCTTCCGA